GGGGGTCAGGTCTGCTGTTCTACCTGGGTCAAGTGTCTAGCCGATGTGGGCTTTAATTTATTTCTAAAATAACATCTTCTTTATTTAATCAGAGTAATTCGCCATCAAATGCTTAAGCTGTGATCCTCAAACTTGTGGTTTGACAGGATTTGGACCACATTTAGAATATAGCTGGCCCATAGTTTTGAGGCATTTTAGCACTATTGAAAATGTAATCAGATGTGTCCAGTCAATCTGCTGTGATGTCTTGTGGGAGGAGATTCAGGATTATGGACTGGTGTCTTTGTCCCGGAAGGATTAAGGCTCTGTAAGGAGATCACAACATTAATATTCATACCCTCTGAGTAGATGTGGAGAGATAGAAAGACTGGCATAGTGATATACTATTCTACATTATACTGCATGCATAGAAAGATAGACAGGTTAAGTTGCACCTTAAAACCAAACGGACTCCTGCCACCACTGTTCTCTATGTCCATTCACAGGTTGCCTTCACTCTCTATTACATAGATTAAACATGCACATAGACACACCTTAATCAATATCGAATGTCACATAATAACTCACAAAGGACTTGATGGTAGATTGATTTGATATCCAATATTTTATTGAGATTTAAAAAAATTACCTTTCAGTTTAAAGAGAATTTATTTATCTATGCACAAAAACAGCAATTGTCAAACGGCGTCAATAAAAACAAGTAATTGTAAAAATCAGCTGGGATTAGGTAGTGTTCACGAGATCATTTGCTACATCCTTGAGAAACAGGTATTTCATCTGTACGGTGCAGGCCTAGAGCATATGTGACAAAAATGGTGTATAAATCAACTTGTGTTTAGTGTGGGTCGTGAGGTTTCCATGGCAAAGTACTTGGGTATTTGGATTTATATTTACTAAAACAGAGCGCTGTAGCATTTACTCATTACACCACATACTATATTTCATTTCTAGTCTATACATTGGTTCAATGGTTTTAAGTTCACAAATGTGACCAACAGTCATTTATTAGCACCATGGACAAACCTAACCATTAAATACTGGCCTAAGTACTTGGTTCATATTCTTCAGAAGGTAGTTAATGATAACTCCCACTAGTTCATAATACCTGAAAGCTGTGGATGTTATTGCAATGCAGCAGTGTTTGTTTAAAAATGGTGGGCCCTTGCCCCCGAAAGCCCTTACAGATATACATATTACCCAATAGTATTTGTGCAGTGAATTAACAAAAGAGAACACCAGCTAATGTTATGTATTGTATGAATGTAATCATCATAATGTAGCTAAACCTCAGCCCCGCAAAAAAAGAGATGGCACATAAGCACACAGATGTGATATAAAATATGGCCAGATGTTACAAGATATGAAACTCATTTGCCAACAAGATACAGTACATAAACTGTTCACCTGCCTGACCTGAACTCACGATGCCCCCTTTTGAGCAATGGAAATAAACATGCCGTGCACTATATCGGATTCATGTACGAGCAAGTGTCAGGATGGGACATAATTCCATTAAAGCACTACGTAGTAGTGGTGTGTCCTGGTCTTTGTAGGATATAAAAACAGCAATGCACTTAAAGGAGATTTTGTTTTCAAGTACCTGTCACAGCCAGAATTTTCACACAGTTCAAAATGTTTTCAGGCTGCACTGATTGTGTGAGGGTATGTTTGTCATTAAAATGTATTATGTTCATTGTCATTCCTGAGCAAAATATAATTGTGATTAAGTCACAGTGCAGTTTTAGTTGTTGCGTTTCAGTTCGCACATGTGTGTGTTCTATGAAGGAGGTGGGTAGTAAACAGGCATATCATGGTCACACACACTGAACCCAGATGCCTTGTCATCAGCAATGAGATTGTGCCAGTCTCCCTTAGACATCTTCTCCGTGGTAAACTGTTTCTCACAGTCCATGAGGGTGAAGTCAGGGTTGAAACAGATCTCAATCTGCCCCAAAATCTGGACATCAGCGTTCTGTGAAACACAAAAACACACATTTTAACTATCTAACAGACTGTCAGCTGACATTTGAAACACAGCTTAAATGCACTGATACCTGACAGAACAATGCATTTCTGTAAAGTAGGACCATGCAAAACACCCAACAGCAAATCATAATTTCATTATTTGAATGAAATGTTTCTACCTTTGCTGGATGGACACATTGGATCTTAGGTTTGATGTTGTAGAAGTTCTCTATGACTCCTTCAATTTGTGAAAGCTACACCCAGACACATTAGGAAGACAAGAGGCAATCTTATTATTACGAGGCACTTTATTCCTAACATAACAAATATTTAAGATTCTGATATACCATACAAATTATACATATACACACACACACAATGTAATGTAAAAATCTAAATATACCTACTTTGTAATATGTTTCTGAAGGGATAATGTCAAACTTCTTCAGGATGCTACAATAACAGAAACTCAGATTTATATTTGATTATACTTTCATCCAGAGTGACTTTAAAATAAGCATACAACAGTAGTTGGGATTCTGTGAGCTACTCTGTGGACAGCAAACTTCTGCAGGGTTAACATTGATCAGTACCATCAAGACAATACAAAGAACTAGAAACATTCTGTCAGAGGAAAGAAGTGTGTGCATGTGCCCGTGTGAGGGTGTGAATGTGCGGTACCTGTCCAAATCCAACTTGTGGTACAGTTCCAGTCCCTTGCTGAAGTACTTATGTTGACTATTCAGAGAAGCTGCTTTGGCTGCACATGTACCATGTTTGTGCCACTCATACTTCCTGTTGAAACAAACAAGAATGTATAGGTTTTACAATAATTGTGTACAAAGTAATGCCAGGAGTACAGTACATGATAATGACAATCTCAATGCTTAATATTTATGACTGGACTCCACAAAACTCTGAATATGATCCTGTGGTCAGAGCTGGTTAACAATACATATCTGAGCACAGTGTGCTTGTCAACAACAGTCTATAAATGCATGAAGCAGCATTTTAAAGTGTATTCCCAGATTTATAGAGAGATTGGATATACTTTATAATAACTGTGCAGTAGAGGACCAAGAAGGCAGGTAGGCTGGATATTGCTGTCAGAGAAAAAAAATGGAAGTAAATGCCTGTAGTATTTAGAGGCCATGTGAAATTTGTGGCTGTGTATGGTGGACTAAAGTACATCAATCTCCAGTACTACAATCAGTAATGCAGTAGTTATTATCACCATGTCAATTACTTGCATATCCAAATACACAATGGACGAATGCAAGATAATAATAATGTGGTAGTGACACAGTAATATAGTCTATAAAACTAGAACATACCAGACTAAAGAAAGTCTCAGACAGATTGACAGACAGAAGAGAATGTAAGGATTGATTGATATAATACCAGAATGAAGCAGACGAACTGTTAAGCAAGTCAGGCCAACTCTTCTTCATGTCTGGAAGCAGGTCCTGAGAAAACACACCCAAAAACAGATTTGTTTTATCCATCAGTATACCAGCTGAAGAAAAGGAGAATAACGTCATTCATTTACCCTCCCAAATTAGTAATGCCAAATTAGACTGTCTCCGTTTGGTGTGCTTTAGATTAAAAGAGCTTTTGATTCAGCTTCCTGAAGAGTATGAAGTACACTCCCGCTTCTTCTTTGTCCTGCCAATTGACATCAGTACAACCGTTGTCCGTCTGTTTTTCTTGGTGAATTAAAAAGGACTGTCTTACAGAAAGAATATATTAATTACTTGGATTTTACACCCAGTTATAACGACACACTGAGCCTGAACAGTGTTGTACCTCTATTTGAGAAGAGTTGAAATGCCACGATGAATTGCAGTCGATCCCTTTATCTGGCCTGGAAAACAGTTAAGATTCAGAATGTTAGATAGCTCACTTGCCCACTCATTCGCAGAGAGAGAACCGTAGTAAAAACAGGAATTGCAACCAGGCAACAATGACTTATTCATGACATTTTCAGACAGGACAGTTACTCGTAACCATTTTTTAAAGTGGCAATACCTAACAGGTAGTTGTTAACATCTGCCATGCTGATAGTGAAAATAGGACGCTCTTATCTGATTCAAACCACACATAAACATACCAAAGTCCATGTAGTGTCCAGTAGCTGATGTTGGGATGACAAACTGGCTGTTCCATCTGAAATGTATACAACATTTTTATTGTTATTCCATCTGGACGCATAAACCTAACACTTCATTATGTTATTGGTATAATTGAAATGAGCACAAAGCAAGTTTTGGAGAGCAGCTACTCGGGCTGCAATTAATGATTATTTCTGTTAGTGATTCATTTGTATTATTCTTGGATGAACCGTTTCATTGTGAGACATGAAATGAACAATAACTCCAACCCTTTAAACAAACAGTATGCCCTTAAAATAGATAAAGTTCTACATTTTCCCAGTAAGGAAACTCGCACTGTCAAGTGAAACTGCAGCAACGTTGCAGTTAAGAATCTACACGTACATCTCCTCGGTTGAGTCTTGGTATATTGCAATTATAAAACGTCTTAAAATTGCCTCGATAGAATCTCGTACTGAGAATTTTACTTTGTCAATCATTGAGCAAAATGAGACCCAGAGCAAATGAATGGCCAAACATTTGCCACCCTAAACATAAACGTGTCATACCAAGACTACAATCTTGCCAAACCTTCTGACGCACAACGAGGCACATGCTACAAAACGCATAAAAAGGGATGTGTGTTTTGTATCGAGACTTGGTTAAAACTGCATCTTCCTGTTGAAAAACCTCTTGCCTAATCAAACCAGATTGTTGACACACAGCCTGTCTCATGACTCAAACATAGAAATCACATGATATTCAGAGATTAAACGTTTACTCAGCTATACAGTATATAGGTAACATTCTTGGACAATATAAGAGAGAAACATTGCCTGAAGACATTGTCTGGGATACCATGTTATTTACCAGTTGAACACAAATAATGGCTAAATATTATCTGTACATACATTTGGCTGGCCCCACAGATACAGTTATGACTGGAGTAAGGATGCTGCATGATTCATGGGGATATTCACATTCATTTCCTGAGTCGGGAGCTAAAGTTTACGATTATTCTGTCGTCACATAAATGCTGGACACAAAGCCTATGGCATTTTATACTGCATGTATTAGCCTAGTGGCCAGCGTCCTCCTCCTTCATTATTGCTCCTCTACTCTTGGTTTAAGTCATTTCCCGACAGAAGGCCACAGCTGAATTTAATCCCAGAATCAGTAAAGGCAGAAAGAAACTCACACTACAGAATGTGCTTGGCCAGTGGTGGGTCAGGATCAGTTTGGTCCAAATGTGTCTGAAATACATGCACACTTTAATTAATTAAAATAACAGCTAGTTCACTAGAGCATCCACCATCATATTCATCTACATGCACAGTGTATTATTGTGTTGTACTCACGGAGGTGAAATCACGAAGGCGGATGACAGGGCTGCTGCCAGGCCGAGCAGAAGAGGGGAGCAGAGCTTCATGTCTGAAAGATGATGGATTTGTCAACAGCTGCTTTCATGCAGGACTCAGTATTGAACATGAACCCCAGGTTCCTCCAACATTCACATTATAACACTATCAACAACGTCCAGAGAGTAGAATTGATTCCATAAAACATTTGTGACTCTGGGGAATTCATGCATTCAAGTACAATTCTATAATAATGGATCTTGATTAAACTGTGTTACAGAAATTGTAGATGTTAGACAAGATTACGAAGCGAGAGAACCTGGCGCATGCGCAGAATGATAGTCCAAAACATGTTTTGGCTTTAAGTGCGTGATTTAGACCTCATGTGACCACTTAATTAGACAATGAACACATACCTTTAACACAGCAACCTCTCCCTCAAATACACAAACATTACATTACATGTTTGAAACTTATCCACGCATAACCAGGACCAGTTTATATAACAGTATTATCAATCAGGGGAACAATTGATCTATCTAAAGATATATATATATATATACTCAACTTGTGCTAACATGGGCTGTACACTGTCGCAACTCAGGCTGAAGTTCCCACTATCATAATGAAATAATGATCGGTGAAACATGCCCTGCTACAACCCACAAAGTCACTGTGCCAAAGACGGGCTACGTCCTAGAAACATGGCATCAATAATTTCGTAAGTTGAACGTTAAACTATTGTTTAAATGAACGAATCTTCAAACGTGAACAACGAGCGTAATACCGACTTCATGTTTAAACCAAACAACCCTTACATTTAAATACATATAATGTTTACATATGCCTCACCTTCTGCCGGATATGTGTGCAAAACAAATGTGTGGTGGTTACTTAAGTGTTGCGCAGGTCATCATGTAGAAAACTGTGCATTACACAGGACAGGGACTTGTGTTGTTGATGTCCCGCAGACGATTCACTGACGTGTGCGCCGTTGACGTCGTGCGTCGTCACGTGGTAGAGTGGTTGGGTTGGCTTGATTTGTGGTCCGGCCCGCGCCGGCGGGTCCTTGTTCAGCAGGTTAGCTGATGTAACAGTGTACGATCGTCCCTTATATTGCACTCTTCTCATATACAGTACATTAATGATATATATATATATATATTTATTTATTTTTACAAGAAAGTATTACAGCAGCAAGCTCTGAGATATTGATCTACATTGAAGACAAATAATAAATATTAATGTTTTTTTTTCTAATTTACCAACTCAGATTTGACAGAATTGTCAGTTTTTATAACACAACTGCATTCTGATTAAGACAACTATACAGATTTGGGAGAGAATACACCAGATTAAAAGTCTGATCAGCGTGCTTTGGCAACAGCATTTGTGAAATTTTACAGCTGTCCTCATAAAGCGTGTCAATGGAGAGTGTCAGTTTCACAATGTGTTCACCAAAAATGATTTACAGTAATTCATCTCTAGGCAGTATCAGGGTGTACATGCACACACACACACACACACACACATATATATACAGTATATGTATATTAGTGCTGTAACGGATTGTAAAACTCACAGATCAGAGTCACGGATTGATCACAGACCTATTTTGTTTTTGCCACCATCCCAAAACTTATTTCAACCGCTCTGAAGTCTGTAAACCATAAACAATTCTAAATATTATCCTTTTACTTTGTTATTGTATTTCATGTTTTTTTTTTCTTTATAAAACACACACAATTCAAATGGTTAGGAAAGAAAAGATTGTATTTTTATCGATTAAAACAAATCTTGTTAGTAGTTTTAATGAAAATTTGCCACCTCATTAGTGGGGAGCCCTGGCTCACCAACGTCTCACTGTCAGCCAACAACATAATGTACTAAAAGTATCACTGGGCTGCGGTTACAGTGTGCTTGCACATGACCAACAGAGGGCTCTTTCGACCTCAGACAGACGTCTTTCCTCTTTTTGATTCTACGCCCTTGTTAACACATTACACACTCTCACCAAAGCCACCGCCCTGCCACTCTCTCACTCTTTTCTCAAGTGTAACTCCGTGTTTTCCCATCATTTGATTTTGCCTCAGATGTGAAATGTGTTTCACTGCTCCTCCACTGTGTCAGGAATAGTCTAGCTGTAACTGTAGCTAGTTTTATAAATAGGCCATGGCCAAAGTTCAGCATGCGACTCAGTGTCTCAAGATGTTTCAGATGGAGAAAGATCTTACAGAGCGACTAAAATACTGGTTAAAGTGTAGCTAGAAAGATTCAAATCTATGTGTGAAACGGCCATATACGGTGGATATATGCTGCAACATTGAATTTAAAATACATTTTCAGAGTTTTAAGGTGCATGCTCTATAAGCTCTGAAATGCTCTCTAACGTATGTTTTATAATTCGTCAACTATGCCATTATGGTATGGAAGAAATTAGAGTGAGCAGCCTTGTTGCAATGTGGTTCTTGAATAAGCTCACTGTCTTGCTGCCTATTCTAAAAATGCTGCTTGAAAATGTGGCAGTGCCCCCATAACAGATGCTGTGCATTGTCTAGATCAGGTGATATACTTGAATAACCAGTTGATGAGCATCAGTTGTTGAGCTAACATCCCAGAAAACAGCAATTGGACTACTAAAATCAAAGAGTTGACTGGTTGTGGTGGCCCTGAGTCTTGAAGGATACTGGTTATATATAGGCAGGCTCTCTTTCCTTATTAGGCCTCAGGGAAAGGCAGGCGGGGGTCGGTTGAAGGCGGGTGGTGGTTTTTGTTGGCCTGGTACTTGGTTTAGGCTGACTCCCGGTGGATTCAGGCTGTCAACCGAAGTCGCTGCAAAGGAAATCTCAAGGGGTAAGAAAGCTATAATTTCCTTCTCTTTTTTTTATTTCTATCACCTTTGTATCCTCAGCTTTGAGTCTACTCTTGTTTCAAACCCAAGTGCAGCTGGTGGGATTAGTGGGGTGGAGGAATTAGGGAAAGACCAAATGATGTTGTTGTTTGGCCCTATCAAGTGCTGATGATACTCAAAGTGATGAATGATGAATGATGATTTTATGACTCTTAATTGACTCTTAATTGGTTAAAATGGAGTCCCTCTGGAGAATACAACTCGGTGGGGACACTTAGGACTGTTGCTTCAGTGCACAAATTGCTGGTGTGTAGTTCTGGGACTCATACCATGTTGACTTTGTTTGATCTTAAAATAATACAAAGGAGCCATTATTATTCCATTGTATTAGAATTGCCACTATTGAGCACACAGCAAGTTGTGGTATCCAAATAGCAACTGTTCGGAGGTTTTTTACGGTTATGGTTGAGAGTTTCAGAGGTTTACTGTTGCAGGCGGCGTGGCTCGGGTGTCATTTGGCAGACATTTGTGCTGTTACAGTCTTGGCTGGACTGACAGAGGCAGAGGATAGCCAGTGAGGTGTAGGGCAGATGGGACTATAATATGACAAGTCTGCAGTGAAAACTTGCCTGAGGGCAGTTGAATTTAATGCTGATTTTCTTTGGAAGCACGTCTCCCTATGTCTGCAGCTTTCATTTAGATTTTGTGACACTGCTCTAGAGAGTGTTGCATGAATAAACTGTACTAACTCACAAGAGACAATAGGGACTTAAGCTGGTTTGTTGTTCCTTGAGTAGGGTGAAGAACATTTTCTGTGATACATTAGTATTATTATGGAGCTCTTCTACTGCACAACAACATGATTCAACCAGGATTGCCTTTAGGGGTTGGGGGCATTATGATATCATGTATCTGATTGTCTGGCTGCTTGATTAGCGGTTTTAAGACATTAGAAGTGAGTAAAACATGGGTTAAGTGTTTCAGAGATGTGGTAAACAGGAATGTCTTTGCCATCGGAGCACATCTCAGTAGCTTTCAGGGTGTGGTTGGCCAGGGAGAATCGCTTCATGTTTCATCTGTCCTTATTTCTGGTGAGGCAATTATGTTTGAATGCCGCTATGACTGCATGATGTCAAAGTTATGCTCTTGCGTTGGTATGTGTACTGTAAAACGTCTTATGTCAGACACAGAACAACTTAAACTACCAGTGATACGTGTGTAGCAGTGGTTCCCTGGCTTTCTTTTTTTGTATCATCAGCTTTATTCATGCCATGTTATGTCTAAGTCTAGTTATCAGTGCAGGATGTGAGGTGAATAATAGAAACGTCTTATGATAAGAGCTGTTTTGTAGAGCTCACACTAAGTAACAAATCTCTCATATTTCATTTAGTAGTGTTTTATTCACTTGTGTTTAAAGTTGAAAATAACTGTATTCGCGGTCCACTACTGTATATAAAACTGTAATGAATATACAACTGCTCATGCTGAATTTGGAGCTGTCAACGTAATGGAAAGTGCAGCTGTACTCGGTCAGTTACTGTTCATATACATCACTGGTCCAACAATAGACTACATCCATGCCTTTTCTTTATGTATGTACATGTGTGTCTTTAAATCAATATAATGTCACCTTGTCATTCCTAAAGCTGACAGTGAGACTGCTGTGTTTGTGTTTGACAGTGTTAACAAGTCTATGTGTCCAAATCCCAGGAGGGCCTTTCTTTTTCCAAGGGATGAGGCAGTTAACACATATATTTTCCACTTATCTTACATATTGTTGCAAATGACCAAGACAGGACTCTGTTTCTAAAAGCCCCCAAATGTCCTGTTTGTGTTGTATTGCTGTTGTGTCTTAACCAGGTCTCCCCTAAAAATGAGAGCCTGTGTTTCAATGAGATTACCCGTATTGATAAAGGTTTAATAAAAAATACACGCTCCTCGGGATAATTAACAAACTCTGTCCTTCCTTTGGTTGTCTTCATGACAGCATCATTGAGTGCATCAACTTCCTGAAGTCACGTTGACAGTCCTTTAGGGTTGGTAGCCCTTGTGTTTGTGTATGTTGGCGTCACTGTGTTGCTGGTCCGACTTGTAGGTGAGGATCTACTGTACTTTGTTACCATGTCAGTCTGTGTGTGTGTGTTTTGTTGCTGGTCCAACAGGTCAATATCTACAGTGTCACCATGTCAGTGTGGATGAAACGTGGGAATTACAACCATGAATACCGCCACAAACAGAGCAAATATGTGGTTAAAGAATACAGCAGGTACATGTTACACTCTAATGCTAAATACAACTAAAACATTAAGCTAACAGTAGTATTGTAACATTAGTAAGCTTTGACTATAGGTTAGAATAGAGGGCTAACCTGGTTAACATAAAACTAACATCAAGACAAAACTAATCCCGAGCTGGGCATGCTAAACTTGAAAATTGTTTTTTACAATGAATGTCCAAAGGTCATCTTCGAAATCCATATCACAGCATTTTTTTAAAATTAATTTTCTTTTTTTTTTATCGATCCTTTTTGGCGCTATGAAGGCTAATTGAAATTTAGTATTTCTCATGCTTAAGACAGGCTGTCCAAACTTTTAAGCAGCAAGTCTGATCCTCGTGCCTTTTCCACAGATACAGTACAAAACACCACAGGAAAGGTTTGTTGCCGAGTGTGTTGTTAGATTTCAAGTATAACTTAAATTGGATTGACTTTACAAATTTTTACTCAGGCCTTTGTAAGCTGTATTGTGTAGAAAAATAGTCAAACAATCCCCAGTTTTCACTCCAACAAAGTCCAACACAGTGGGGGGGGGGAGAAGCTAACACATTTCTTGTCACATTCTGCAACTGTTTAGTGCTGCTGTGATTGGTAACTATGTAGCGTGTTTAGGTATTAGTGTTTGTTTTTGTGTGCTGTGTGTTTCATGTACTTACACCTTTAAAAATCTTTTTATTTCTGCTGCTCACTTCTTTTTGCTTCTTTTTTGTTTTTGCTAATAAGCAGCTAACCAGACACAAGTCTGTCTTTGTTAAACTTATACTTTTAACAAAGTGCTCATTGGCAGGTGTTGAATTATCTTCACTCATCTGGTGGTACTGCTCTTGTAGAGCTTATTTTCCTAACTGA